GAATATTACAGTCCAAATATTACAGTCCGAATAATGTACAAATTCCTAATTAATTAACAAATTAACTAAGAAAATAAATAAAACTGGCATGCAAGCGAGGGACTGCCTTGCTCCTGATGAATGATGCATGTCTGGGCTGCCTTGCGTTTTTTTTTTAATGTGATTTAATCTTTTATTTACTGTTTTAATGGTTTTTCTTTACAATTATTTATGAAAAAAATATGATTGTAGTTAGATAGCATAAAAATATTTGTGATTTGATTTGATTTTTTTCTGATTTGATTTTTAAAATACCAATTATTGATAATGATTAGATTGTATTTTGAAAAAAAAAATTGTAATTGATTTTTTTAACTCATTGTGTTTTTTGAAAAAAAATTTATTGTGTTTTTTTAACTATCAATTCACTTAATTTGTGATTTAATTTTTAACTCACTGTATTTTTTGAAAAACAAAATGGATTGTACTCATTAGGGTACCAATTATTGATGATGATTAGATTGTATTTACACCAAAAAAAAATTGAATGAATGAATGATTGTCCTATTTTGTAAACTGTACTCATGGCATTGATAGTTAAAAATCAATCTAATTCAAAATACCAATTTTTTTTTTTAAATACCAATTTAAAATATGATTGTAGTTAGATACCAATTTTTTTAAAATACCAATTTTTTTTTAAAATACCAATGATTGTCCTATTTTAAAATATCAATTTTTTTTTGGGTCAAAATACAATCTAATCATCATCAATAATTGGTACCCTAATGAGTACAATCCATTTTGTTTTTCAAAAAATACATGAGTTAAAAATCAAATCACAAATTAAGTGAATTGATAGTTAAAAAAACACAATAAATTTTTTTTCAAAAAACACAATGAGTTAAAAAAATCAATTACAATTTTTTTTTTCAAAATACAATATAATCATTATCAATAATTGGTATTTTAAAAATCAAATCAGAAAAAAATCAAATCAAATCACAAATGTTTTTATGCTATCTAACTACAATCATATTTTTTTTTATAAATAATTGTAAAGATTAAATCACATTAAAAAAAAGAACCATTGAACAAACTACAATCAAATCACATTTTTTTCATAATAAAAAATAAATAAATGAAAAAAAGAACCATTGACTAACTACAATCACATTTAAAAAAAAGAACCATTGAACTAACTACAATCACATTTTTTTCTTTATGAGTGTTTATGTTTATCTAACTTCAATCATATTAAAAATAAAATTAAAATAGTAAATAAAAATATTAAATAACATTTAAAAAAAAAAACATTGAACTAACTACAATAATCATATTTAAAAAAAAGAGCCATTGAACAAGCTACAATCACATCACATTTTTCCCATAATAACATAAATAAATGAAAAAAAATAACTATTAAACTAATTACAATCACATTTAAAAAAAAAAAAGAAACATTCAACTAATTATAATCACATTTTTCTCTTTGTGAGGGTTTATAATTATATTAAAAAATCAAATTATAATTTTTTATTCGCAAGACAAATCACAAATATTTTTATGCGCTATCTAACTACAATATTAAAACAGTAAACAAAAGGAAAAGTCAAGAAGGAGAAAACAAAAAGAAGACTTAGGGCTTGTTTGGCATCTACTGTATAAGTCAAAAAGCCAAAAAGATATTACTATTCATCAAAAAAAAAAAAATTAAAAAATCAATTTTTTTCAACAATAGTACACACGGAATTGATGACCCGTGCAGCTGCTGTGTGGCAGTGGGGAAAACAAGAAATGATTGGGTGTGTTTTTTACACACACCGTTGTTCGTTTCATGGGGGCTATCACGGGTCCCATTTTGACAATCTGAGCCGTTCAATGTGTAGAAATCGTCAGGTACTATACATTTGCAAAAAATCACATTAATCAGATATCGATAACTATATGATCAAGTCAGTTATGTACAACTAATAGATGGTGTTATAATTTATGATTGAAAAATAAATAAATCTGATCAGATAGCTATCGATATCCGATTAACGTGTTTTTTTATAGGTACATAGTGTTCGACGCATTACACACATTGAACGGTTCAGATTATTAAAATGGGACCCGTTATGACCTCCACGGGCCAAACAAAACCGTCTAGTACAATGCCCAAAAATTAGCCAATAATTTCCTACTCCAATTCACACACGCAGGTTGTACGGCTGGGCCCACTTCTCTCTAATCTTCTCTTACACAGTTTTTTTATACAATTTTTTAATACACATTTTTTCATAAAAAGTCAAAAAGTTAACCCAAACCTCCATATTTTTTTCTCAACTTTTTTAGTCCAAAAAGACAAAAAGTGCACTTTTTTAGGACACCCCAAACCAGCCCTTACTGTTTGCATACGTGGTCACTAAAGTTGAAAGTGTAGAAGTGAGAAGTCAAAAAGGAGAAAACAAAAAGGAAACTCACTGTTTGCAATAGGTACGTGAAAAGTTAAAAAAAGTGTGTATATTGGAGAAGTTAAAAAGACTTGGAAGAATTTAATAAGTGTTATGTTTTTTTTTTTCAAAAAAAATCAAAAAAATTAAGAAATTAAGGTTCAGATATTGGAACTCCCACAAAACTTGTGGGTTAGAGATAGATATAAATAAATAGATACATATAGATATAAATATTTATATTTATTTTAATTTTTTTTTAATATACAAATTATTTGTTTTGGAGAAGATACTGCAGTAATTATGTGAGAAGTAAAAAATTCTTGTGGGTTGCACAAGCTATTCCTGTTTTCATCATGTCCTGTTTCATGCTTCCGGTGGGCCTTTGTCATGAAATTGATTCAATGATTAGTCATTTTTGGTGGGGTCAACGTGAGGAAGAAAGAAAGATCCATTGGCTTAGGTGGAGCAAACTTTGCTTGCCAAGACAGAAGGGAGGTTTGGGGTTTCGTAGTTTGATGGCTTTTAATAGGGCGATGCTTGCAAAACAAGTTTGGTGGCTTCTCAAGCATCTGGAGTCATTGGCGGCGCAGTTGCTTAAATCTCGGTATTTTCCTAATTCCTCTGTTTTGGATGCTTCATTGGGTTGTAATCCGTCCTTAACTTGGAGAAGCATTCATGGTTCGAGATCTCTCTTACAATCCGGGTTGCGATGGCGAATTGGTGATGGTCAAAGAGCCTAGGTTTGGGGGGATCAATGGATTCCACGTCCTTTGTCTTTCCGACTTGTTGTTCCGCCTACGGACTTGCTGTTGGATGCACCTGTTTCGACTCTCATTGATAGGGATAGGGGATGTTGGAATGAGGAGATCATCACTTCTAGTTTTTCTCCTATTAATGTCCCCACAATTCTTGCAATTCCTCTTTATCGAAATTGGCCCGAGGATACTCTTGTTTGGCATTACTCGAAGAATGGGATTTTTTCGGTCAAGTCGGCATATCTCTTGGAGTTGACTACATCTAATATTGACATGGCTGCTGGTTCTTCAGAGGATGGGATGACTTCTGCTGTTTTTTGGAAAATGATTTGGAAGTTACAAATTCCTTCAAAAATTCGCATTTTTGCTTGGAAAGCTTGTCTCGATATTTTGCTAGTTAAAGCAAATCTGATTAAGAAACGTATTCCTCTTACTGATTGCTATGAGGTATGTGGTGAGGGGGTGGAAACAGTGCGCCACTGTTTGTTCCAATGTGAGTTTGCCGAACGTGTTTGGTTGGCTGCGGGTTTAGATCACTTATGGCAACTGGGGTTGACATGTGCTTTCTTTGATTGGATTTGGCAAATCTCTTCATCCCATGGCTCTGCTGTTTTGGGCCTTGTTTTTTCGATATGTTGGAGTATTTGGTTACATCGTAATCAAGTGGTTTTTGCAAAAACCAATAGCTGTGCGGGCGAGGTGGCGTCCATTGCGTTTAATAGTATGAGAACCACCCAATTATTTATATTTTTGGCCTTGGGGGTAGGGGGTGAATAATATATTTTTAAAATAATATTATATATATTAATTAGTATATCAACAGATGACGACGTAATATAATTTTAAAAATTTATAATTTATATAATTATGAGGTCAATAATAATATAATAACCTTAATTGATGCGTATATTTTTAACCTTAATTGATGCGTATATTTTTGACCTTGACGGGTCATTAGCAAGCAACAGGAGGACTTGGTTGTCAACTATGTTATTGGGACCCACCCACAAAACAGCGTGTCCGACCAACACCTGACCAACACCTAACCAACTGTATCGTTAGTGAGACACGTCAGATCATGTGGGTCCGGCGGCGTCAGTCTAAACGACACCTTTTAATCTGAACCCCTCTCTCTCTCTCTCTCTCTCTGTCTATCTATCTATCTCTCTATCTATCGTCTCTGTTCTAATTCTCGTCTATTTCTTTCTCCCCGAAACCCTAATTTCAGTCTCTCTGGATAATTATATTTTATATGAACAGAAGCTGAATTTCATTCCTTAGTTTCAAATTCGGTGTGCGAATGGAGTCTAGGGCTCGAAAAAGTCCATGACCAAGCTTTAATGGCCTTTAGCTGTTGTAATTTTGGAAGATGTCCGTTCCAGAGCTGAAAGAGCGCCACATGGCTGCTACGGAGACCGTGAATGATCTCAGAGAACGTTTGAAGCAGAAGCGTCTTCATCTTCTCGACACTGATGGTTCAATTCTCTTTTCTGTGTTGTTGTTGTTGTTCTTTTTTGTGTTAGGTTTTGCTTAGATCTGATGGGTTTTTTTTGCAGTGTCGGGGTACGCGAGGTCTCAAGGGAAAATTCCGGTTAGCTTCGGCCCGACGGATCTAGTTTGTTGCAGGACTTTGCAGGGGCATACCGGGAAGGTAGACTCTTAACATTTTCTGCAACTCCAATTTTATACATTCATGTATATGATGGTGACTGTTTACTTGACTATATTTTGTGTATAATAGAATTCTCAGGGGAAGGACTATGGTATGGCATACCTATGAGTCATAACTACAAAAAACAATAATCATAAACAAATATTTCAAAATAATGTCGGGGAAGGACTATGGTATGGCATACCTATGAGTCATAACTACAAAAAACAATAATCATAAACAAATATTTCAAAATAATGTCGTAACGAAAGAATAAAATTAGTCATAACTAAAGAAGAAAATAACGTAGCGGTAGGTGAATGTGTATAATAGAATTCTCCTTTGTTTAATGGAGTTTTTTTTTTTTTTTTTCAGTATAAAATCAATGATTAGGGCTTTTTTTCTTGTGTTTTGATTATACTGTTTCCTATTTGTAGAAATGACTAATACTAATATCTTAAACATATAATTAACCTATGATAAGAAGAAGAAACTATATTCTCAACTTCTGATTGTGTTTGTGAATTTCACTTTTGGCAAGAGTGATGCTATGCAATCTGACTAAAAGTACCAGGAATGAAGAGCTAAGGAGTTTTGATCTCTGACTTAGCCTTAAATGCATGTAGTTTTCTCACTGTTAAAATTGCCCTAAGATATCAGTGGTAGTGGCAGAATCAAAGTGGTAAAATTGGAAAGTTATTTTTCGTTTTTTAACAACACACCCAGAAGCGGTGACATTATTTTTAAGCTTAAAACTAGAAATGAGATAACAGTTGATATATCTCTGCATTGTACATTATTCAATTTATTCGAGGTGCTTTGTTGGTGGGATATATCAAGGACACTCGACAAGACTTGATCCCTTTTTTCTTGATCTGGTTACATGGAATTAATTTCTGTAGTGGCTCTATAAGTGCCGCAACTGAATATTTATTGTAATTCATATTTATAAAGTGTGACTCTACGATTTACGTTTGTTGTCACGACAACTGTCTTTTTTCTAGGTTTGAGATTGTATATGTGAAAGATTGACACTAAGCAAGATGCAAGCAGAGTTATGCTATTTTGGCCAGAATATGAGAAATGTAATAACTCTCCCCTCCCTCGATTTTATAGTTGCCTTTTTTTATATCCTAGGAAGATCTCATGTCTGACACAACAATGTTGTCTTGGCAAGAAACATTATTTTATAGGTGTTTAACAGTATGATTCATTATTTTCGAGATGAATTTTTTTGGTCAATATATTAGGATACTGATGGTGCTAAGCCTATCTTAAACCTTTGTTTCATGATATTTCACGAGATAGCCAAGATTTAAAACAATGTCCAAAAGAACCTGACCGATTAGGAACATCTTGAAGGTCTTCCAACATTATCTCCAAGCCTATAGACAAGCATGAATGGCGGACTGTATCTGATGGCTACTTGATATAGTCCGCCATTAATTATCTATTATCAAAATCTTACAATTCGTGATTCGATTCGCAATTTTTGCAAAATTAATACGAAACTATGGATGAATCTATTTTGAAAGTGAATCTCTAGTGAATCGCATGATTCACAATCGATTCATGATTCGTTTCACTTTTTACAATTCATACAATTCTTGAAATTATCGTGTCCGGCATATTTTGAACTCTTTTTTCCTTCATCTTTTTTGTGAAAATAACATAATACGATTTCTAATAGTGTTTAGCACCAAAATAATTAATATATATACATGATTTGTTATTATTTTAGTGATCATAGAGTTTTTAGTAGGATCTAATTAGATTCAGTCAGACCCAATATGTTTTTAACATTTTTTCTCATTTTTTTTTCTTTTAAAAAATCATAACATATCTTCTAAAAATGTTTAAGACTAAAGTAATTTATATTATGAATTATCTATTGTTATTTCATTAAATTAAATATAGTTAAATATTACATGGGTAAGGTTAGTTATACCTTTTAAATTCTTTTGGACTTTAAAAATAAAAGATCGTAAATAATTATTTCTTATTATTTGGTCATTGTTATTTGGAAAAGTATGTATGTTTATTGTCCAAGTATCAATATTGTTAAATTATTATTATTTTGGAAATTGAGGCCTCATTTGGCAAGTGACTTTTTTAGCCAAAAAGTCAAAAAGTCACTAAAAAAACTAAAAAGCCAACAACCTATACCAAAAAGTCAAAGATTCTCTTTTCTCTCTACTTTTTGCACATCTTTACGTAAAAAGTCAAAAGGTCATCCTAAACATATTAGTTTTTTTTAGCTTATATTTTAGCTAAATAACCAAAAAGTTACTAAATTAGCTTGTTCCCAAACGAGGCCTGAGTCTTTGTTTATAGTCTTTATTAAGAATTGTTGATAAGAAATATTTAAAGAAGGGAAAAGGTAAGATAGTGATCTTACATAGGAACCTTTGTTAACTTCTTACTTATTAAACTATGTGATCATTATTCAAAATAATATTTTCATTAATTCAAGTCTAGATATTTTATGGTCATAAGATATATTTATCATTCAAATGTGTAGACATATTTTTCTAAGTAATTTAGAAAAAGTGTCAAAATCTTTATGATTCACGATTTGATTCGCGACTCGGTGCAAAATCATTTCAATTCACGATTCGAATCCCGGTTTGACAACTATACTATGTGTGGACTATAGACAGGCTTATCTTAAACCATTGTTTCATGTATCTCACGAGATAGCCAAGATTTAAAACAATGCCTAAAAGAACCTGACCAGTTAAGAACATCTTGAAGGTCTTCTGTCATTTTCTCTGAGCCTATAGACAAGACAAGAATGGCAGATTGTATCTGATGACTAATTTTCTATTTGTATACTATGATCTAATAATTTTCAATCTGATGATTGTATCTGCTCTAATAATGGTAGACTATATCTGATGACTACTTATTTTTATGCCAAAGAAGAGGCCTTCACTCCTATTTTGAAGGAATCACATATTTTTCTTTGAAGTATGTGCCATGAATTTGTTACTTTATTTGTATCATTTTAATGAGTCAATAAGCTTTCTACAACCTCCTTAGTTGCATGAAGCCAAAGCGATGACGGGTGGGTGATGACACATAGAAGAGTAAGTTTGGGGCTTGGGAGCGCCTATAGGAGCATTTATATGCTTATATATAAATAGAGGCCTTCGCTCCTATGTGAAAGGAATCACATCATTTTTCTTTGAAGTATGTGTCATAAATTTGTTACTTTATTTGTATCATTTTAATGAGTCAGTAAGCTTTCTACTACCTCCTTAGTTGCATGAAGCCGAAGCAATGATGGGTGATTAATGACACACATAGAAGAGTCTAAGTTTGGGATTTGGGAGCGCCTTAAATGCTTATATATAAATATATTGTAAAAAAAATAAATTGCTAATTAAACATGAATAGATATTGAGATTGGTGTCAATTACAATTTTCTTTTTTTGCAAGTATATAAATATTATGTAAATAAATAAAATAAAATAAATCTAATGCTTGCTACAACTTTTCTCTTGCTTCATAGATTTTCGTTTTCTTTTTTTCTTTTTCTTTTTTCATTTTTTTTTCTTTTTGGAATTCATACATTCGAAAGTTTCCATCTTTGTTTGGAATTGGAACTTTTTTATTTTTATTTTTTTTTGATGGGAATATGGTTGTACTAGGTTCTTTCTTTGAATCATGGAATTATTGTTTTGGAACAGACTCATCACCTCCAAGGGGTTCATGCAACTAAGGTTACCCCTTACTGGATATTAGGGAGTTAGGTTATTTAACTCACCAGCAAAAAAAGGGAATTTAGTTCATTTAATGTTCTAAATTTTTACTACATGTTATTTTTTTATTTTCAATTTTGTTAATTCATTGTAAAAGTTCAATTAGTAACCATGCTTATTGTTGTTTTGTGAAATGGCACTACATTTATTGCCTAGTCATTGCAGAATCTTAGGTGTTACAAGATTGAAAATGACTAGACATTCAACTTTATTTATGGTATCTAAATTTGCATTAGGTTCTGATTTCACTATTTTCGTTTCCCTTTTTATTCTTTTGGGTTATTTAATATAGATGGGAGGCATTAGGACTACTTCGGCGATTTAAGTACAAAAATTGGAGTGTCCAGGGTTTTTGTTTTTGTGTTTATTTTTTGTTTGCTTTTTCAATTATGTATATTATAAATGAAAGGAGCGTAAATGTAGATGTATACCACAATCCACGAAGATGGGGAGGATCTAGTGACTGTAACCTTTGTAACACTGATATCTATCTCTACATCTTAGTTTCTTTTTATTTTTATATTTTACTTTTCATCAGTAAAATGCTTAGTATTGCATAGAAAGAAACTATGTCATGTATTATATAATTCATTTCTTTGGAGAGCCATGCATTTTACCCTTTTGATCTATTGCATGGCAAACAGAGATAGTCACCACCATAGACCTACCAAAAGCTAGCGAGTTTTATTTCAGCTTTGTGAAAAGCAGATTGTGTGCTTTCCATTTTCTTATTGATGAGGTCATCTACAAATTATTTTTGTCCAGTATTTCTTTTTCTAGGAAGGGAAACAAAGTAATCAAGTTTTATAAAAAGCATATGGATTGGGAATCTCTCAAGAGGAAAAAGAAACTACAAGATGCAAGGGCTATGGCAAAAGGATAAAGACAAAGTGGATATAAGGTGAAAGTCCTTACAAACACACCATAGTTCTCCTCAAGGAGTATAATAGTGATCCTAGAACTTTACTTCACAAGAAAGATAGAATATACCTCCACCACTGTGCAAATGGAGAGCCTAGTGCTTAATCAAGAAGTTGTTCTCATTCCCTAGTCTTGCTATCAACTTAGTCTTAGCTACTAAGGTATTCCAAGGCTCCACCTCTAATTTTCAAATTAAAGTACTTTGCCTAGATATATCAAGCATGCCCTGGTACACCCAATGGCCATGATTCACCCACGATCAAATACTTGGTCATTCTCAATGATGAAGGTTTGGGAGGCTTTTTGAAAGAGCTGGAACCTTAGCTTTGAAGGTCCTATTCATGGGCATGCTTTTTGCTAAGAGTGCATTACCAATTTTAAGCTTAACGATGACAACGGCTTCCATTTGTAGTGGATTGTTTTGTTCTATTAGTCATTTGATTTAATTTCCTGATAAATTTGAAGTTATTATTGAATTTAAATAATTAATTTGAAGTCCTATATATTATTGCTTTTATAGCATAAGTGGACCAACGTTACAGTTTTTAAGGGAGCATTTTGATGATGCTCAAAATTTGTATGAATGGGTCAGGATCCATAACTGATTGTGCATGATTATTGTAAGACCGATAGTCTCACAAACTTGGCCAATTCTATGGTACACACCATTTAATTTCTATTAGTCATTTGATTTAATTTCCTGATAAATTTGAAGTTATTATTGAATTTAAATAATTAATTTGAAGTCCTATATATTATTGCTTTTATAGCATAAGTGGACCAACGTTACAGTTTTTAAGGGAGCATTTTGATGATGCTCAAAATTTGTATGAATGGGTCTGGATCCATAACTGATTGTGTATGATTATTGTAAGACCGATAGTGTCACAAACTTGGCCAATTCTATGGTACACACCATTTAATGCAAGTAATACCCGAAAGTCATGATGGTTATGGCTTGAAGTGGTGATGGATCCACCTATAGTCAGAACAAAGTGGGGCCAACTTTAGTTAAAACCCACAGTGGTGTTTGGTTTGGATTTGGATCCTCTCTCCAACTTTTCCCTGTTAGTATCGTATGGAAGTTAAAAAAATGAATGACACATGGCCACTGAGGGATTTAATGACTGAGATGAAGCCATGATAGGAAGTCAAACTGTATATCTAAATGGCACCATTTTTTATCATCAACTGCAAATTCACAGTGGGCCCAACTCACAATGCATGTAATGAATGAAAAAAATAAAGTAGAACAATGATTAAAAAATAAAAAATAAAAAATAAATGGAAAATTATTCTTAAACTACTTTTTTAAATGTATACATTCATATATATAATTTAATTAAAATTATCACATATATTATTTAAATTATAACAAGTCAGATTTTTTTCTCATAAAAAATGATTCATAACATTTCTCTTACAAATAATTTATGTCAGAACATAACCAGTTTAATTCTTAACTTTCACTTTAAAAGTGTACATCATAGATTTGTTATTGGTAATTTTTATCAATAAAGTAACATAAGGTAGTCACTTTAGATCATAAATTACATCACATGATACTCTTAAAGTATTTACTGGAATATTTACTTTAAACAAGATATTTTTCTTTTCTTTTTTTTTAATTTTATTTAAATTTATTTTTCTAATTTTTTGAAATTAAAAATTATTAATTACTTTATAATTAATACAAACGAATGACTTATGTGACGACATAAAATTTTTAAATAATTAATTAAATTATTTGTGTATATATTTATATACATACATATATAATGATAATTATTTAAAATATGTTGTAACGTATGTAAGAAAAAAAATCTTATTGTATTATAAAAATTAGGCAAAATCCATACACCCTTGAAATGGTATTTCATAAGAAACTTATGTTTTTTTGTAATGGAAAATTGTAAATATTGTGATGTGTTACATTAGTTTGTAATAAATATTACAATTAATGAATTTATAGTGTGTAGCCTAAAGTAAAAGTTACAAATCATTCTGATTATATTATTTTTTGATAAATGGGTGTCCAGACCAAACTTATGCGCATCTCGACTAATCCTCCTGAAGTTAATGACCGGGTAAACCTCCAGTGGCCCCAAAGTTTTGGGATGTTTGGCTTTCGTGGGATTCAACCCTCCATTATGATTATATTATTAATATTATTAATGATATGGTGTAAATGTTACGAATTATTTATAATAAAAAAATATTACAAATCATTTAAAAAAAAATAGACTTGTTCTATTTATTATAAAATGTTATGATTATATTATATATGTGGTGGTAATGTTAAAAGTACATATGGTAGTTGTTCTAAAAAAATATAATTTAAAATAAATATATGTAATAATTTTAATTAAATTACTCATTAGATGCATTGTGAGCTGAGCCTACTGTGAATTTGCAGTTGATGATGAAAAATGGTGTGGTTTAGACATTATACGGTTTGGCTTCCAATCATGGCTTCATCTCGGCCATTAAATCCCTCAGTGGCCATGTGTCATTTATTCTTTTAACTTCCATATGATACTGACAGGGAAAAGTTGGAGAGAGGATCCAAATCCGTTTGGTTGTGGCCCAAAGTGGCCTTGGGATTGTGTCTCAAAGTGGTGTTGGTTATGCTTCAAAGTGGTAGGTGCCTACAAGGCGTGCACCTTGATGTGTGCATTAGTGCGAGGCATTCAAAAAATGCACCAAGGCATCACTTTTTGGGAGCAACACTAAGTCTCTGTTGGGTGGAGCTTTGGAACGTTAATTCTAGAGCTTGATTTGAATATGATGTTTGTTTACGATTTTTCAAAATTAATTCCACGCTCACTTTTGAAAACGCGGTCGAAGGCGGGAAAATTTGGACTAACCGGTCATCCTCTTACCGAATGTCCCATCGGTCGTTCGGCCGGTTGACCGGCTAATTGACCGGAACAGTGCAAAATTTTTTTTTTTTTGGCAATTGACACATGTCAATTTTTATATATTCAATAAAAAAAAATTTCCGAATTTTTTAGAACTTTTTATGAGTTTTAATAGAATTTTGAGTTGTGTGTTTGGTTATGAGTTGTAAGTTTTTGTATCAAATATCATGTCACATCAAAAATTCCCCACTTAATTCAAAATTCATTCACCAAACAAATTTTCTGCAATCAAATCATAATTCCAAAATTCACAAACTCAAAATACAACTATATTCTCAAATTATATTTAGAAAACTCTACCAAACGCAATCTAATTGAGTGGTCGTCTCAATCGATGAGGCGTTTGCCTTAGACGCGCATCAAGCGCTTTTCACGCTTAAGCGCTAGAGGCGTGAATGAGGTTTTAAAAAAAAAGGAAAAACTGAGATTGAGACGATCGACCTACCATTCTTCTCCAAATGGCTTCGGTTTTGACAGAGACGACCAACCGTAGTCTTCACTTTACCTTTGCTTTCGCCTAAGATTGAGACAAATGACATTCCCCTCTCCAAACGACGTGGGTTACATGATGACTTCGACTGAGACGATCTCTCTCTCTCTCTCTCTCTCTCTCTCGTTTTTTGTTTCCATCATTTCCTTGTTTTGTGCCGTTCTCTACTTCTTAGACTGAGAATCATTTAATAATATTTTTTTTTCATAGCTTTACACTGGTCGTCTCTGTGTTGTTTTATAGTTTCAATAATTTCACTCTTTCAAGTGTCTTTTTTCTTTTCTTTTTTTACTTTGTTGCCTATTTTTTGTTTTTCTCTTTACAGTGCAGTGTTGCTGACAATTATTATTAAAAAAAAATTATTTTTATGCCTAGAATGGTTATTTTGAATTTTAATTGCTATTTATTTTTTCGAAAATAAAATATTCAAAACTCAAAATGCGTACGCCTCACCACCTTGAGGCTTACACCTCACCTCGTCAAAGATAAAACATCTCGCCTTGCATTTTCACCTTTAAAAAAACTTTGTGCACATGGTATGAACCCAAAAGGGGTGTATACTGTAGCACAACCCACAAACTAAGATGATGTGAATTTTTCTATTTAGATTCCAATGGCTTATCAACCAAAAGAAATATAATAAAAAAAAGAAAAAGAAAAAAAGGGAAGAAGAGATAAAATTTATGATAGTTCTTTACATAAACTAACACACCGGGATGCATTTCACTTATATTTTGTGTTAATATTTTGTTAACCACTTGACATCGTGTCATTGGTTAGATATGTTTGGTTTTGTGTTGTGTTGTGTTGGATTGGATTGGATTGGATTGGTGCCTATATGCAGTGACCATATGCAACATAACTAATGTCTAAGAAGTCGTTGGCTTTTACTTTCACTTTCTTGTTGTTTGTCCCTTTTAGCTACTACTTGAATGAGAAGCGGATGAAAATAATAAATGATTGACATGCTGACATTTTTATTTATGATAGGGTGAAGTTTCATCTTAATCTCGTAGGAAATTTTGTAGGTTTATTCACTGGACTGGACTCCTGAAAAGAATCGCATTGTTAGTGCATCTCAAGATGGGAGGCTAATAGTGTGGAATGCTCTCACAAGCCAGAAAACTCATGCCATAAAGTTACCTTGTGCATGGGTCATGACATGTGCCTTCTCTCCTACTGGTCAGTCTGTTGTATGTGGTGGCCTTGATAGCGTATGCTCCATCTTCAATCTGAATTCTCCAACTGACAAGGACGGGAACCTACCTGTATCAAGAATGCTTAATGGGCACAAGGGTTATGTTTCCTGTTGCCAGTATGTTCCAGATGAAGATACTCACCTAATAACAAGTTCTGGTGATCATACGTGTGTTTTATGGGATATAACTACCGGCCTGAGAGCTTCTGTTTTTGGAGGTGAATTCCAATCTGGGCACACTGCTGACGTGCTGAGGTATTTTTGGTTATTTCCAAATTGATATTGACGTAATTTTGTTCTCTCTCTTATTGATAGAAATACTTCTACAATTTAAAACCTCTTCTTTGTAATGGCACATGGTCGAAGGACATGCATACATATTCAAGTTGCACTTTGAATTTATAATACATACTTACTAAATTTTATTGCATGTGATTTGAGTCTTCATGTGACAATTTTTATCCCGAGAAAGGAAGAGGTAATCAAATTTCTATAGTGCAGATAGACAGCATATTGCAATCAATTTCTCTGCCTGCCTGCCATGGACAGCCTAATGGTTTTCTGAAAGAAAGCTTCAAAGGTTTCAATACTTGATTGCTTGGATATTCTGTCATAACCATGCCCTAAGAAGCGCAAACATGGACACATGCCATGACAATGACACAAATTTTCAAAAAATGCAGGACACGACGCGTTGGGGATACATGCAAAACATATAATTTTATATATTTATTATATGTCATATTTCAAATATTTAATATGTATTTTATGTCAAATATTTAATTTTATCAAATTTATCTACTTTAGATATGCTATTTTCGTAAAAAAATTATAAATTTTTATTTTTTATGAAAAAATAGTCCTTAGCGTGTTCTTAATGTGTCCCCAATGTGTCCCTAGCATGTCCCAACATGTCCAACTCTTTTCAACATGTCCGGCGTGTGTCCGTGTCCGACTATGTGAGGTGTCCATGCTTCATAGACCATACCTATGTTACAAACTATCACTAGAATTGGTGACCCTTATGTGTTCTGCTACTATGCAGCTATGCTAAAGTGCTTTGAGCAATTTATCCATTACAGATATAATCTGTATTTTACTAATAGCGGGTTGCTGATGTTACCAGAGAGTAGAGCAAGAGTGAGAGCCAGGGCTCTGGCGTGCACATAACACTTTATAAATATAGAAGTTTACCATGTTCCATGAACATTGTCGTCAGAGGCTATCCATATCCCCACTATGCTCAATCTTAAGTACTATCTTGCATTGTATGATTCCTGTATGGAAGTTGGTCATGATAAAGTTGTCTTTCAAATATCTGTGGAAATAGTATCATAGTATGTACCTTAATACTTTTTCCCCCATGAAAAAGAATGTGATTTGTCTGTTGTTTCTATGCTTCTAAGAAACGTGGACACTTCTAAGGTGGTGATATGTCCAAGTTGGACATCCACACTCGTTGGATACTACTTTTCAACACGTGTTTGACACAGATCCACAAGTGTCGTTTTTCACAAAAAAAAAGACCTAGACATGCTTTGGACACTAGGTTTACACCTATCCATAGCTTAGACACACATGAAACACATTATAATTTTAAATAAAATAACTTAGGATCCAGTGATAAAGAAAAACAATGTTGATTTATACCTGTTAATCCTTCTTTTAAACTTCAGAAATTAGTGTCTTTTTAAGATCTTTGAAAGAAATATAAAATTATATATTTTTGCCTGTCTCGTGTTGTGTTTGGATTTTTTTAAATTTTGTGTAGGTGTGATGTCTGTGTCCGTGCTTCTTAACTCTGCCTTTATATATATTATGTTTCAGTGGTTTCTAAAACTAGGGTTTCTTATAATGTTATCATCTCATATTCTTTCAGTGTCTCTATCAGTGGATCAAACTCAAGAATGTTTGTGTCTGGTTCTTGTGATGCAACTGCCCGATTGTGGGACACTCGTGTTGCTAGTCGAGCAGTCCGGACATTTCATGGTCATGAGGGAGATGTTAATGTTGTGAAGTTCTTCCCAGATGGAAATAGATTTGGAACTGGTGCAGATGATGGAACTTGCAGGTTATTTGACATTAGGACTGGGCACCAGCTCCAAGTATACTATCAGCAGCATGGTGATAATGATGTCCCCCCTGTGACTTCCATAGCTTTCTCCATATCAGGCCGGCTTCTCTTTGTCGGGTACTCCAATGGCGATTGCTATGTATGGGACACTTTACTGGCAAAGGTACATTGCTCTTCCATCTTAGGTGCAATCCTCATGCATTTACCTTCATTATGTTAATGTACCTTGCAAGCTGCTGGTCAGTATGTACCTACTCCTCGAAACATATTATTTATTTATTTCTGTGTGGTTATGGTTTGTGACATTGTTTTTGAGATTCCTCATGCTATTGTTTGGCCTAGAATTTGGTTGAACTTACAATCCCCAGCTTGTTTTATCATGTAAGTAATTTTGTTTTATCAAAAAAATAAAAATAGAAAATAAAAAGAACAAGAAACACCTGTAAAGTGACGCAGAGGTTCTTGAATTTCCTTCACCCTAGGTTAATTGTATGTGTCTGGACAACAGCTGCTTCAAATGAGGTGTCATGATGTAAAAATCAGCTTCTATTATCTGAGTAAGAGAATGCTGCCCCTTTTTTTTTTTTTTCAAGTCCAATTTGACATTGTGGGTACATATTACTTCTCCAAAAAAACTAATGAAAACTAAATGAATAAGCAATTGTGAAACTTGCATTTCCAAGTTTCTTCTCTTCCATACCCACCCACACTTTTCCTCCTTATTTCTTATGCGGTATTTGCTTAAGTTGCTTTTTCCATTCTAGGTGGTTTTGAACTTGGGATCTCTTCAAAACTCACATGAAAGTAGGATCAGCTGCTTGGGTTTGTCAGCTGATGGGAGTGCCTTATGCACAGGAAGTTGGGATACAAATTTGAAGGTGAGTCTATTTCCAACATTGGCTATGTTATTTCACCTTATATATTGTAATATGATTGAAAGAAAATATTTTATAAAATTTCTTAAATTGCATGATATGTGTTGGCAACCTGCTCAACTTCATGATTTGTTACTTGATGCAGGGATGCAAAGAAATTAAAAATGTAAAAATCAATGTATAAAGAGAAAAATACAGAGAGAATAAATGTATCTGATGATCTAGAAATTAAAAAAATATATATGTAAGGAAGAATGTAATTTGATTTTTTTTTTTTTTTTGGGTGAACTAAGTAGCATAGACATAGACGCAACACGACATAGCATAGAAATGCCACAACAAATTCTTAACAAGTGGAAAACAAACATGGTGGTATATAAAGATATATCTTTGTATGAGCAAATATTATTTATTTATTTTTGATAAGCATATGGTACGATTGGTTGTGTGCATATAAGCCTCTTGGTCACCCTCCCTTTGCGCGTGTTTGCAAAAGTGAGTTTTATCGAAGGGATTTGTATCATTTGGTATCATAACCAACCAACGTGTCTAGTATGGGATTTGACCTTAGTTGCACATGGAAAGGAGCGGGGCTGGGGGCAGGGCCATGTATATATTTATTTATTAAATACATAAAGATATTTTAACAATAATTTTTTTATTGCTTAGTTATAATATATGTATTAAAATATGAATAAATATTGGAGATTGATATCAACTATAAAGTATAAATAAATATTACTAGAATAAATAAGTTTGACTTGTTTTTCTCTTTGTTTATATGAGACTTTTATGTTTTAGAGGTTTATATTTCAGTTGGGAGTAAAGAGTGTAATCAGATTTCTTAGTAAGAAACGTCACTCAAGTAGAAGGTTCCTGCTGCTAAGGATTAGACTCACCTATGTGAGTATGAGGTCAGATCAGTATGGCTTTGCGGTTCTAACCACAGAAGGAGTGACTTATAGACTGGATTAAGATATCTAATTAGTCGAATACTAATAGTTGAGTGGAACCACAAGGATGGTGGTATGTTACGATCCCACATTAGTTAATGTCGGTTACAAAGCATGCCAAAAATTCAACGTTGAGGGGGACTTATTAATCACAACATTGAAATTTTTTTCCCCCATAACAAGCAACAATGAAATGTTATTAAACTTAAACATTCTTTTCATTGTTTTGTCAATTGGTGAGATATAATATTACAATTATCATGAGAATTACATCAATATGGCAGAAAAATTTACAACCAACAACCCCATAATAGGAAAGAAATGATCTATTGATTCAATTTTTGCCGTTGACCTCCCAGTTAGGAGTGTACAAGAATGGCCAAAAGAATAGAATAGGACACTTGCAAAATTTTATAAATACAAAAGACTTTTACATGATTTAGGGAGAGGCACTACTACAATTTTATGGGGGATAAATAATACTTAATCTAAGGTAAATAATAATAATAATAATTTTTATGTATAGGGGGATTAGTATAAATATCAAAAGTTTAGGAGGGCACAAAAGATATCATTGGACAGTTTTTGATATTGTGTATCAACAATTGCGTAATAATGAAGATGAAACTAGACACATTGTATGCATGATTATATGTTCTGCTACCATTATAGTCTTTGCATGTGTTCATTGGACAACTGAATCACGGATGCAATACTACTTCCTTTCTTTTCTTCTGTAAAATAGAGTTTGGACTTGTGTACTCTTCCTATATTCAAGAGTGTTGGGGAATCCTCTTGTTAAGTGTTGTTGGATAAGTGTAAGAGATTTGTCTGCCAATTGTCCTAAATTATGAAATTTATTTATTACATCCAAGCAGTGTAGGAATTCCCTGGCAGTTTGAATTTGATGCTTTGATTGACTTGAAAATTCCGTAACTTTTGACTAAAGATGTAGAGGCGAGAGAGAGTTAGGTGTTTACTATACACTCTGGAACATGTTTTTTTATCACTATGTATGCATGCAATTATTTTAAATATATGTTCAATTAGGAAAATGCATGAGACCCCCAGTGGGGGTACTGGGGGTCTCTCCTGATTGGTCCAAATTTATTTTATTTTATTTTATTTTTGTTTTCATCCATTGCCAGCCCCCCACGTGGAGGTGGGGGTGCTGGGGGTCCTTCCCTGCTGGGGACCCCCAGCAGGGCCCGTTCAATTAATTTCATACAAGTGCAGTTTACTTTCCATCATTGTTCTTTTAGTACTTTTTTTTTTTTTTTTTTAGTATTTTTTTTTTTTTTTTTTTTCAAATGATTTTCTTTTTATCATATGTACATAATAACAATCATGGCACATGTAGTAGTTATAGAGCTAAAACAAAATAAATTAAATTTATTTTTTATTTTTTATTTTTTTGTCCTTGTAATTCCTGGTACATCTCTTTTGTTTGCAGATTTGGGCTTTTGGTGGGCATAGGCGAGTGCTGTGAGTAGTTGTGGTCTAAAGAAGGTTCATCTGAGTTGCCTTGGCATTACAGACCCATGGTAGTTCTTGTCTTCCCTTTTTATTATTATTATTATTATTATTATTATTATTATGTTTTTTCTTGTAAAACCTTTTGTATCTTATTAAGGTGACTCTGTTTTCAGAAACCAAAATCTTGTACTGTTTAATCTTGAAATACCATTTTAGGTATAGGGAGAAAAAAGAGTATATAGTCTTTAGAATAATGCTATATGCACCAATTAGTGTACCAACTAGCATATCAATTGATGATGTGACATAATTTAAGAAGTTTTTGGTATTTGTAATGTAATTAATGAGTGGGGTCAATAATAATATCATAACTAGTGTTGGTACATTAGTTAGTACACTAATTGGTGCATGCAGCACCACCGTAGTCTTTAAGAAGTTGGAAGTGGAAAACCTGGTTTGTCAATTTGCCTGCTTCTTCTTCATGTCGTTATTTCAGTTCTTAGCTTAATGACTGGTGCCATTTCATTTGGATAGAATTACTGTTCCTCCACCTTTGACGATTAGGGAGGATAGACAGGAGGCCCTTGATGATGTTAGCCATAGCTCAAAAGTGAAAATGATATACAAGCTCACTTTTTAAATTTAATGACGTATAAGTGATGTGATTAGTTGATTATTACGAAAAATATGAGAGAGAGAGAGAGAGAGAGAGAGAGAGAGAGAGAGAGAGAGTTGTTTTAGATATCTTAATTAAGTGTAACATCATTAGGTTTGAAAAGTGGATCAAATTTTTAGACTTGAATGGCAATATTCTTTGTTAAATACAAGTTTATTTGTTAAAAATATATATATATATATATAAAATTATTTTGGTGAACTTATTTTTTGTCAAAAAATTTATTTTAGTAAGTTATTAAAAAAGTAAAAATGTTAAGAATGTATCAAATAAATTAGTGCGTTTTTTAGCAGTGAGTTGAGTTCTTTCCATTTTATTCTAAGAGCAATGGTAGAGGGCCCAAATTCTGTGGCTCAAATGTGGCTCAAATGGCCAAAACGACGTCGTTTTGAGTACAAAACAACATCTTTGGTGAACTTATTTTTTGTCAAAAAATTTATTTTAGTAAGTTATTAAAAAAGTAAAAATGTTAAGAATGTGTCAAATAAATTAGTGCTTTTTTTAGCAGTGAGTTGAGTTCTTTCCATTTTATTCTAATTCAACCCAAATCTTCCTCAGACTCAGCTTTTTGTGGGCTGCTAGTTCTGAAAAGATGTAAACATCCTCAAAGATGCATCCAGGTGTTGTTGTATGTGGGAGTCAATTGTTTGTTATTTTTATCATTTTTTTTTTTATACATTCAAAATAAATTTTATATACAAATAATATATGAAGAGACATTAAAACTGAGAGTAATGCTAGTCTCACAAGTTATAATTTAATTGGTTCATATGCCGTCACAAACTCACAAGTAATGTCTTAGGGCATTGTCACCAGCTACCTTAATTTAATTGTATTTGGTTGATATGGTAGAATTCATTACTTTGTGTAGTTTTTTGTTTTATGAAAGACACATCACGATGGATTAGTGTGGAGAAAATGTCCATATTTTATCGGTGGATTATTTTTTATAGGATTAGATATGAACGATTGTTTGGTAAGAATAAGTTATACTATGTGCATTTTTTATTTTTTATCAATCAGTAGAAGAGTAATTATAAATACGAGAAACATTTATATCATTAAATAGGTTACAAGTCTAAAATAACTAGAAAATCAACAAAGCTTAATACAATCAATAAATCAAGCTCAACTACTACTAAATATATACAATTCTTATAATGGTGAAATAAATACTATTACAAATGATATTAAACTCCTCTCCATAGGAGTCACCACAAAGGGTGTTATACAACTACTAAGTCAAATGCTCTGGTTTGTACTATTATTATACTATGTGATTAAGTAGGATAAAAGATTGGATATATGATACAATTAGGGGTGCTCACGGACCTAATCGATCCCCAAAAATCGACCGACCTGATTAAATTTACCTATTTTTAAGCGGTTTCAATAGTATAGATGGATGGAGATTTTTCAAATCTGTTCGAACAAATGGCAAATGAAGGGCCATCCGATCAATCCAATTTGCCAACCCACCTTAAAAAAATGATGTTATATCTTTATACTTCGTATATTTAAAAAAATGATATTTTGTTTAGTAATAATATTAGCTATTTATGAAATATGAAAGTTTGACCTTAAAAATGAAGAATAAAAAAAATTGGATTCAAATAAGGCCCAAAATAGTAGAAAATTATTCTAAATAGTTCAAAAAAAAGCATAAAATAATAAAGTCTAAACAGCCAAATTAATCTGCATCCATCCCAACAATCTACATAATTTGTTCAATCCGCATTCGCTAACTATGGATGGGTGCATTTTCATTTTTTTCCAATCCATCTAAGTTTAGACGGATGGCGGATGGGAAGCTATCTGACTCAACCCAATCTGCGAGCATCCCTACATACAATTATGAGAATAAAATTATACCATGAATAAATATATTGGATAAAAGATTAAATAGAGAAATGAGGTATTATGTTTGGTTAAGATGAGTCAAAAAGATTTAATTATTTTTACCATTAGATGAAGAAGGAAAATAATCACGAGGGGCCTAATCCCTAGTACCACAATTCTTATGGTATGCCTTTTTTTTTTCTTCATTTAATCCTTATACTAGTATTACCATAAGATGATTCATAGTTTTAATACCATGATAAACAAACAGTAAAATTTGAGATTGTAGCCCAAGTGATTATGTGAGAACAATTGAGGTGAGGTCTTATATTCGAGTCAATTGAAAAGTATTGACCTATGTAATAATTTTACTTTACTAACATACTAATATTCTACTAAGTTAAAAGAACATGTAAAGCATGACTATCCCATACCTGTTATCCTCCTTTATCCCACAATCAAGAGACGTACTATTTTTGAGGTGTAACTCAATTGTTCCCCTCACCTCTTATCTCCCATTTTAGTAAGATAATCAAAGGTAGCCTAAGAGCATATTCAATAATTTTCTCTCAATCCAACAATCATTTTAATTTAGAGTAATGCAAAAGTTAGTTAATTTGTTAATATTTAAACTTACAACTTATATTTAATGTCAAAAGTAAATGTGTAAACTAAAATTAAATGTCATTATATTAAATAACTTACAAATCACTGTTTAATTTTAAAATAATAGTAAGTACAAAAATAAAAAAATAAAAAATCCAATGAAACTAATTTTACTTTTGTATTACGTTGGGGTACCTAGGTAGGTCTAGGGCACAACAAAAATTTTAAAAATTTAAATTAAATACATGTTTTGAGTTTTCAATATATATCCAAAAATACCATACAAAATATCGATAACCGGAAAATAATATCCAAATTTTCCTACTTCATAGCATAACACTAACCACAAGGATTTGGGGTGCCTGTTGTGAGCAGGCACTGTTGTGCGGCTTTATGGGCTTATTTTGTGATCTGTCTTGATATTCTGAACCGTTCACATTTTAGAATACATCGAGCACAACATACTTGCAAAAAATTAAGTTAATCAAATATCGTTAACCATTTCATCTACTCACATTTATATTTATTTTAATACTTTAAATCACAATATCATTTATTTTTGAAGATACAAATGTGAATAGATGAAAGGGTTAACGATATCCGATTAACTTAATTTTTTAAAGGTATATTCTACTCAATGTACTTTAAAATATGAGTTGTTCAAGTTATCAAAACGGATTCTGAAATAAACCTATAAAACTGCACAACAATGCCTTCTGTACTAGATGCACAGCAAGCACCCCAAATTCTGACCACAGTCATCTAATGGATCTTATTTCTTATCTAAAATACAATGACACACGTCATTTTACCTAAATGATGTTACCACAACATTAATGTTAAGTTGTGTTTAAATTTTAGGACAAAATTTATTTTATCTCTATGGTATGACATAATAATACTTTATTCCCTTATATTTTAAAAATTAAAATACAACGGTTAACACCATTAATTATAGAGGTAAAATGACTATAATACTCTCAAACTTTATGTTTTTTTATTATTTTCTTTCTCTCTCATCTTTCATACACATAATTTATAATGTCTAGTATTAATTTAATTAAATCACAATTCACTATAAATTCTTAATTATTTATTTTAATTCTTACATTTTTATTATAATTTTAATTTAATTATATTATATTTTAGATCACAATTAATCATAAATATTTAATTTATTGTAATCACTAACTTTTTAATTTAAATATATTTTGGATCACAATTAATCCTAAATTCTTAATTATTTATTAGAATTTCTAACATGTAAATATAATTTTAATTTAATTATGTTTTAAATCAATTCTTAATTATATTTTATATTTTAGATCAATTATAAATTATATTTTAATTAACATATTAATTTAATTTTAGATTTGGAGAAAATGAGGGTAAAATTGTCCTTTTGTTGTATTCATATTTCATTTTAATTTTTCAAAAAATAAAACCTATTTTAATTTTAAAAAAATAAAACCTACTCTCGAAAATGGTGTGTGTAATGCACCTTCCATTCATTCAGATGGAAAACTAACGGTAACACTTTAGTTTAAAAACTGCATAAGGGCTTTCTGATTATATTTGAACAATAAGGGAGTAAAGTGCTCAAGCTCCAAGCCACAATGGGGAAAAATAAATTTAATCCTAAATTTTAACAACAATGTTACAATTCATTAAAGTTTATTCAGAAAATCAACATGTAATCTAGATTTATTCTATAAATATGATTCATTATACAACAATTCAATCTTAACCATACATACATTTTCTTGACACAATTCATGATAAACAATTATGGGTTCCCAGACCTTTTGAAATATTAAATATGAGTAAAATTTATAGAGGAAAAGAAGAAAGAATTTGTTCACATTTTCCTTCAACTACAAATTCTTATCCAAACCCAAACTATCTAAATACAAAATAATATTAATAAAAAAACAAAGGGAAAATTTAAATTCAGTGTATAATTAAAAAATAGTTATAGATCATTGACAATTTTTTTAAATTTTAATAATTGAATTCTTAAACTTTTTCATCAACTTATAATAATTTTGTGAAAATATGACTGGGTGATGATTTTTCCAAAGGGCTTAGTTTCTCTCAACCGATTTAGATGATTAAAACTGTTCACTTTTTAAAATTTATTGAGGAGAATAGTTATGAAAAAAATAAAATGATTTGACATTGATAGCTATATATTTGAATCATATTTGTTTTTAACAAATGGATGTCAAATCTAATTTTAAGAATAACTAGCCATTTTTTATAATACAAATTTAATTCATACATATAACAATCGATACTCGATCATCTTAATTTTTTGATCGAATATTTTACCCAATGAGTCTTAAAAAATGACCAATTCAGATCACTAAAAATGGCCCTAAAATAGACCTATGAAGCCCAAATACTTTTTCATGCGGAGATGACCCAATTCTTCCTCAAAAACTAACATACATACGTCGTGTGTATATGAAAACTATATACTAAAAACCTATATACTAAAAAAGGATAATGCTATGGTACGTTGTGTATTCTGTTTTTGCAGTACCATCGGGGTCTATCTTAACTTTTTGAGGACTTAAGACAAACTTAGAAGGGATTCGACTCTTATACATATTTTAAAATATATAAGTATATATATATATATATATATAAATTGGTAAAATAATAACAATCTTCAATTTATTTTTATTTTTTACTTATATCTTCTATAAATTTGTTGCACATGATACACATAATTATTGACGAAAATCATAATTATTTGAACATTTTCAATTGTTAACAATATTACTTTATTTATACTTTTTTTGACGTAGTAAATTAAATTACAAAATTTGATTAATTTCAACTTAAAAAAATTATTTTTCCAAGAAACAATTATAACTGGTATAATTCTATAAATAATAAATTTGACAAGCAACCATCTGTTATTTGTTAATAATTTATTAATTTAATTATTTATTTAAATTTTTATTTTTCAATTACTAATACTATAACTGAAATAATTAACCAAACACAATATCAAAATTCTTTTGAAACCCATTTTTTTTTAGATGGAATTTAGGGATCCGAAACGACTGCATCGGCCACCTTATCTCAGGGCCGGCCCAGAGCACCATTATCCTCTTTTTTGAGCCATCCCTCCCTCCCATACCAACCCATATCTATCTATCTATCTTCATATCTACCACTACCACCACCACCACAAAATTCTTTTGCCTCTTTTGTCTGGTTAGTTAGTTAGTAGTTACCTTCTTTTCACTCCATGAACAAAGAAATGCTTCACTCCCTGCTCATCAAACCAACACTCTCCTCCTCACTCTCTCCCATCCACAACCCCCATTCCTCCTCACTCTCTCCTCCGCCGCTGCCGCTGCCGCTCCTCCTTCGGTTCCGCCCGTCCCACCGCCAGAACCTCCGCTACCTGAAAACTCTCGGAATCATCAACCCCCAAACCAGAACCAGAACTCCCTCCCCAGAATTCCTAGCCCAAATCCTCTCCACCGTCCATTTCTTCAGATCCAGGGGCTTCTCCGATTCCGACTTCCCTCGACTCGCCTTTCTCTGCCCCGACCTCTTCTCCACCACCACCACCTTCTCCCACGCTCAGCTCCAACAAATCTTCGATTTCTTCGCCACCGATTTAGCCGCCTCCGCCCAAGAATCACGCCGACTCATCCTCTGCTGTCCCAAAATTCTACTTTCCAATGTCGAATTTTGCCTGAGACCCACGCTCATCTATCTTCGACAGTTAGGGCTTCAGAAGCGCAATTTGAATGCGCATCTTCTCAACACTCGGATCGACAAGCTTGAAGAGAAGATTAGGTTTCTGAGGGGGGTAGGGTTTTCAGAGGACGAATCGGCTAGGGTTTGTGCGCGATTTCCGGCAGTGTTTGGGTACAGTGTGGAGAAGAATCTGAGGGGAAAGTATGAGTATTTGGTGAGGGAGATGAAGAGGAATGGTGTTGAAGAAGTGAATGGGTTTCCTCAGTACTTTGCCTTTAGTTTGGAGAAGCGGATTGTGCCCAGGCATTTGCATCTCAAGCAGAGGGGTGTTGAGGTTCCATTGAAGACAATGTTGATGTGGAGTGATCACAGATTTTATGCTAAATGGAACTGAGACTCCTATTCCTATTCAATTTCTTTTTCTTTTCTTTTTTAGTGAGGATGAAAAGAAAAGAAAAGAATATTCAATTCTTTATTACTTGTATATTTGTATGCTAGCCTAATATGTAGTTGAGTACTTCCATTCCATCACAAATATTTCTGCTGTTCTTCCTAGAAAAATATATATATCTCTTTCTGTTTTCTTGTTGATCGTAATATATGTGTGTATATATATATATAATTCAAATTGTTTATTGAATTTTGGCTTGATGCGCATGCGCTGCCTTGATACATCAACTGTTTTTGCTTGGTTGGATTTCTTAAGACTTTTTAGATTTTTAATTTACTAATGAAGTGGGGGAAAAAAAAGTAAAAAATCAAAATCAATTTATATTTTATTCATTTGTCTTGATTTATTTTTCATTTTCGTCTATGAGTTTTACACAAATTCAAGGTCTAAACCAATTATGCTAATATTTTTGTTTTAACTTTTGTTTATGACTAAAAAACGACTTAAATAAACCCTCAACGGTGAACTCAAATGATGGTTAACTCAGATGGTTAACCCTCCAAAATGATATACTGGTTGCCCTGTTTAGGAGTTGGGCTCTGAACTTCAAGTACACACTCGTGTGAATCGAAGGCCTCTTCGCCTAGGCCAAGTTCTCAACCATAAAAATAAAAAAATAAAAAATAAAAAGTTAAATAAGTATCATGAGGTTGGAGAAGAGATGTTTTAAATTTCTATTTACAGATTATAAACTTTCAATTTAAAATAAATTAAGTTACTAAGGCCTGTTTGGTAACCATTTCGTTTTCAGTTTTCAATTTATATTTACAAAAATTTTAAAAACTGTTATAAAAATTTGTTTGATAATTTTTTTAGTTTATATATAGTTGTCACAGTTTATAAATTTGAGGAAAAAACGTAAACTCAAAAAATCAGTTTACGTTGGTTTTTAAACATAAATTTAAAAACTTGACTAACAATTTTTTTTTTCAATTGATTTTTTTTAATTAATTTTTTTTCAATTATAATGTGTATGATCCCATTGTCATAAATAATAAAAAATAAATATAAATATTTTAAGTCTAAACAAATATATCTTTTAATTTATGTTTTTAAATTTTTTTAAATATTTTATTCAAACCAAATGCGTTTGTAATTTATATTTTTTTAAAAATAAACAAAAGTCAATTTATAAAATTTTTATAAACATAAATTAGAAACATAAACGTTACCACACGCTACCTTAGCAAACACATTATTTGGTACTTAGTGGTTGGGTTGGGTTGGGATTGCCTCGGTAGCATCTTAGAGCTCTAAACAATGTATATTTTGTTCTTTGATTTTAGCAGTCTCCAAATTAAAGACGCGACATTGCAATCAGTGAATAGAAACTAGTAAGTTTTGAGCGAGTGCAAATGATCAAATTCTTTGTGCAACCCATGGCAAGCAATGAAGTTTCCAAATTAACCTAGAGCAACTTCTTAATCCTGTACGTTGTAGGTGATGATGTGATGACACACTACTGTACTGAGAGTGGAGAGAGTCAAATTAACATCCGATCCGAGTGAGGTTACCTACTTGAGGGCTCAATTACTGGACTACTACCATTCACAGCAGTTGACACACGCTATGACACAGCCGTAAGAGATTTTATTTCCCCACCCTCCAAATCTATAGCTCTGATGTTAATTAAGATAACTCGAAAAAGTACAAATCCAAGTAAAATCTTATAGCAATGTACAACCCATCTCTATATCACACTCTGAGGTCGGGCCATGAATTAACATAGTTCACATATACTCATAATAACACCTTCAGTTTAGGGTTCACACAATTGAAATAAAAATAATAATAAATATCCATCCATTCACATGGGGAAATTGAAGTTGTGATTATAGTTTCAAAAATTCCAAATGTATACGACAATGACCAAATATGTCAAAATAATTTCACATTTACGACCAACAGTAAATCAATCACGCTTCATAGAACCTACACATAACAAGAAAGAAAGATATGGTAGTAGAAGAGTCCTCTCACCAAGCCAAACTCTCCAGTCAGAGTGGTTGGTTGGTTGGTTGTTCATCTCACAACTGCTGAATCTGTTTTAGAGAGCCTTATACATAACCCTTTGACCCCATTCACAAAAGATCTATTTAAAAAAAAAAGAAAAAAAAAAGGGGGAATTAATCGCAATACAATTGACTGAATCAATAAATCCCTACTTAGCCGCTTCCTACGATTTCATGAATAGCATCACTGATACATTCATCCTCGGATCTAACAGCAAGCTTCATTGCAACTTCCTTTGGCCCATCAATTCCAAAGGACAGCCGAACAAGCACTTTCGTGCCCATGAACACACCAGACAATAAGCACGTGTGCGATCTCGAGGCATTTGGGACAACCTCCGTGCCCTGAAAAACACCAGAAAATTGAAACAGGAGAGAGATCAACAATATAGACAGTGCGATTCTTTGCTTTCATTGGGTAGAAGCCACTTCTTCCTTTATTAGGGAAGAGGAACAAGTGACTCAAAGTGCCAAACAATCAACAGGAAGGGAATAAGTCGTTTCTTTTCTTTTTTTTCTTTACGAGAAGCTACTACTTCTAATGGCACGGTAACTAGTTAATATTTTTTTTTTCCAAAAAACACGGAAAAAAAAAAAAAAAGAAATTTTGTGCCCATGCAAAGGGTTACCAACATTTCAAATTTCAAATTCTCTTTTTCTTGCAAAATTTTCATCTTAGTCAAACGGATGGAAGAAAATATATATATTTCTTTTCTTTTATTTTTTTTCGCTTCACTTTCTACCATTTTTTTGTTCTAATCAAACAAAGCCATAAATAAAATATTACAAATAAACACTCTCGGAGAACCAAACAAGAAAAAAAAGGACAAATCTGGAGCAAAACTACTCCAATTTCATAGAAATCTCTGCCAACCAAAACTTGAAAGGTACTGGTCAATATCAACTACTACTTTGAGCAAAGAGGATAAACATTACACCATCACCATTGGATTTTCCTCAAAGTTTCAAATCAACTCATATAAGCAAGGTATTTGAAGGCCCCTAATTCTGTCTTCTACTTCCTAACTACCACAATGTCAACAAATGATTTGGCAAATATGTAACCTTAAAGATTTACTTACCTCACAGGGCTGCATGCCAAGAAGGTTGATGACTGCACTTACAGCTTCTGCCAAGCTTTCTCTTGGGCCAAGGCCATACTCATCTACCCGCTCACAATCTGGGCCCATGCTTTCCCAAGCATTCCTAAAATTGGAGACCCCAACTTTTAGCATATAATCTGCTGCAACAACCTCAAGGTCTTCCAGCTGGTATTCATCTTCCACGCCATCATCCTCAGCCTCACCGGTTGTCGGATCAACCTGCTAGGACCACGCATTAAGTAAACAAGGAAAACAGTGCATGACTATATTGTCCATTAGAGGTTCTAGGATAAATTTGCATCTTGTTAACAAGCTATTCTAAGAAACTAGGGATGGACATATATTTATTGAATGGAAAATGTAATAGTTTGTGATTTGAATGACTATTCACATCACATCCATGCGGTCTACAACAAGAATAACATTCATCACACACATTTTACAATAAAACACAAAAACAAAATATTCAAATAAACAGATGCAATACAATTCTGTTTTTACTAAGACAGAGACACACACATATATCCATAAATTGAGTGGATTGTATATGTACCTTTTGGTTGATATACACATTTATCAAATGATTGGGTTGATAATGTACAGAGAAAGTACTTCTGTCGTTTAACACTACAAATAAGTTAAAACTACAACACCCCCTAATCCTGCAAGTTTAAGGAAGGGCGAAGGTATGAGAGAGAGAGAGAGAGAGAGAACAAAGCAAGTAAATATAGATGAGAATACGAAGCCTAGCATTTAACCTTTAGCCATATCCACTGGTTGATGACAATCATTATGAGGCGTCCTCTAGGGGAACCCAGCAGCTTAGGAAGAGACTCAAGTTCGAGTTTCCTCCCATATTTGCCACAAAAAAATAATTATGGGAGTCAAATTTTGGCCTCTTGAATTCTCAAATTAAATTCTCTATCAGCAATAAGGGCATGAATAATGGGTATTTGGATTTCAACCTTCTCAAATTGTTTGGCATACACGAGCCCAGCCAGCTCGTGAGCTTGTCAAGTATCGATTAAGCTCAAACACGAATGTTTCAGCTTAACTCAAGCTTGAACATGTTCAAATATAACCAAGCTGAGCTCAAACACCAAGATATTCAGCTTGGCTCAGTTCATTGTGGCCCTAAGTCTGAGATGACTACAAAGGAAGGCCATCTCTTTAAAATTCTCCATGTTACTAGGACTTCCAGCAATCTTGGCAACACAACTCCATAGATAGAGAAGATAGCATGCATTCTCAGGCAGAGAAGGGAGAACAGTACCTCTTTCACAATAAACTTCAACATGTTAGAGAACTTTCCGACTGAAGGAACACCATCCGGTTTCTCAAATGCCACAAATGTTTGTCCTGGTGAATCATATGGAAGTGATCTTAAAGGTTTTGATGCTACTTCAGAAAATTCCTCAGCTTCCGAGGCATCCATGAGAACAGTGACCTGATAGGCATAAGAGAATTGAGAAATTGACCCAAAGTAAGATCAGAACAGAGGAACTACTACTTTTTTAAGATGATCATTACATTTTCCAGTAATTGCTCAGGAATTGTATTTGTGCAGTTGAACTGGAACACCACATGTTTATCAAAAATATGCTTGACAACATTAACTGCATATTCTGTTTCAGCCTCAGTAAGCTCCACGGGCAGTGAGGACTGTTGGAGGAAACAGAAAATAAATGGAAAAAATTCCCCAAATCAGCATAGTATCAACAATAGGCATAATCAGTATGTATAAATATAAGAAGCATCCAGCCAAAGAACCTTAAAAAGCTTCCCAAAGCTTGAGAACTCTGAAATAGAGGAAAGCAGCTTTTCATAAGCATCAACTGCAGATGTGGGCCCAGCTGGAGCAGCACCTAAACCAATTGGCTTTTTACCAGGGGCTTTCTTCTCGGCAAGTGGCAGAGACTTAACCTCCTTAGGTACAGAATCAATATCAAAAGGGTCTTCTGAAGGTTCTTGACTCTGTTTGAACAAACACGAGAAGATGACTTCAACCAGTGCATAATGCGTAAAGAGACTGCAATTCTCGAAGAACACTCACATAGTTCTTCAAACTTGTCTCCAGGTTGACCAGAGGCACATCCAGCGACCCAAAGAGGAAGTCTTTCACATCTTTATCGGTTTCAACAATTGCACCATCACCTCCAAGAGTATTCAGATATAGGGTAGCCCTATCACGAACCTGTTAGCAGATTGGCACGCATAAGGCTTCTCATAAAGTAGAATGCATAGAAAGATGTGAGATACCACAAAATGATAAGAGCAAAATGAAGGTAGCCATTAAGAATTGATATCGTTTCAGCTAAGATACTTATCTTGTAGCCACAGAAGGTGAAAAACTAATCAAAAGGAGCAAGAGATAAAGCAACAAAATTTGGCATACAGCCTTCGGAACATAGAAACATTCAGATGGCATACCAAAGAATGGTTATACAGTTTCAGAGTACGATAATAGAAAAACAACAGTAATCATCATTGCCAAATTTCAAAAAACAAACCAAACACTAATTGGTAGGATTAGCAACAACCAAAAAAAAAAAATAGCACCAAAAAAAAAAGGAAAAAGAATCTGGACAAATAAAAGAAAAATGGGCCAGAAAAAAATATTACTAGACCAACTTCCTGAAAGAAACTGTGTCACAATGTATTCAATAGACCATCTGAAAGCCAAAAATTAACCAATCTAAAAGCAAAAAAGGTACTGATAAAAAGTAGTTAACCACATATGACAAAGTATCAAAACATTTATTGATAAATCAAGAAAGCAGTTGATATATATTTCAACAAGAATAAATGCCAAAACCTTAGAAACTGAAACATAATACAAAAACTCACCTCATCATCACTGTCAAAGAGACAGCGTCTCAACAAAATAAATATACGGGGCTGAAACACGATATAGAAAAAATGTCACCCAAGTTAGTAACTCATAGCTCACCTAAATTGATACTGGTAGATAAAAGAAAGCAATCTTACTTTCAACGAATCGACCATAGCACCAAACTTAGCTAATGTGCTAACAGCACTGGCCCGAACAGTTGCATTCTCAAGTATTACACGATTGTAAATGTAACGTATATATTTGCTGGGATCTGATGTCTTAGGTCCCTCAATTCCAAGAAAATGGAGTATCTAATAATGAGTAAATGACATATATTTTAGTAAACCAGCCAATAGAATGATAAAAAAAACATAATGCAGAGTAAGAAAAGATCCCGCACAGCAATAAAACGATGAACCAAAATGCCAACCTGGGTAGAAAGATAAGTGAATTCGCAATCCTCAATGAATTCACATAGGTGAAGCAACCCACTTTCTTTTGCATCTGGAATGTCTCTTATGAGGATAACAATTGAATCAACAATTGATTTTTTGTAGTCAAAACCACCTTCTTCCCTCAAAATATTACTCAAGAAGTTCATCCTTGAAAAGAAGGAAGAGGAAAATTAATAAAAATATATATATCTCACGCAAGTATTAGAACCAATTGTCCAAGAAGAGAAGCATAACATGAAAACTAAGGTCAGAAGATAAATGAAACACACATAAGACACAAATACACTTCCAATTTCTGGAAAAGGTTCAAGCTCACTCACAGAGATCTGTACTTGAGGGGGAACTTTAAACACAACGATCTAATGGCTTCCACTACAACAATCTTAAACTCATCAGCAATGTCAGACATGAAATTGGTAATTTGTTTCATCAATCGTTCTACACTTGACTCATTGCCTGTCTTCAATAGTGTAGTGATGGCAAGAGTGGCTATGCTTCTATTTTGGTCAGAAATCAAGCTCTCCATGTCTATATTGCAATTTGTTACAGCCATTGGATGTGTCATAGCCACCTGCAGATAATTCAAATTCACCACTAATTATAACTGAATATTTCATCACATTCGGCTGTAATAAACTGGCAGAAACGGATTAGAAACAAAAGATCCATCTTAAGGGAAAAGAAAATTAAAGATTGCAGAAATAGATGTCAAATGTGAACCCTAATTTGAGAAGAACAAGTATTAGATTCTTTATTCTTGCATTTAAGAAATTTTATAAAGACATTATATTAGACATTCCAAACGTTGAAACCCTTTTGTCAATAGCGTAACAATGACAATGAGAGGTGCTTATTCTGTAATTAAACTAAGGTCAGGGAAACAACTCAAAAACCTCATTCTCCACGTAGTCCTATAATTGTACTATTATTTACTAAAACAATTAAAATGGCTGTTACATCTAGGGCATATAATACCAATTAAAATGTCAAATCAAATTACGATTGTATTCAAATAATCCTGAAACTTATCAAACTACAAACCCCAGTCAGAATCTTCTACAAAATGAAATTATCAAAGTCCAAATATTTACTGTAAAAGGTTATTTTTCATATCCATCTTAACTATTTTCTTCAAGTGTGTAATTGCATTTATATGTCAACTCAAATGCATAGCACTATCTCTCTAAACATCAAGTATACTTTTAAAACATATGATATGATATTGTTTTAATTTTAATTAACAAAAGAATGCCTCGTATATTTTCAACGCCTCATAGCTTCATCTATAAGTTCAGGTTTATGATTTCATCATCTTCCCTTGGCAAGTTTCTGATTTTCAATTTTATTAATTTTATTTCTTTGTAAAAACAAAGCCTTGGTTTAAAGAAATAAATAAAAGAAAAAGAAGAAGAATCCATAACATATTACATAGGTTCTGGCAAGTCAAGCAGGGGAAAGGCGAACAAAGAAGAAAAGTAAACAGAAATCCTAAGTACTAATCAACAAAATAAATACAAAACAGCTCTTTAAAAAAGTAACTTAAGAATAGTAACCTTGTTCAAAGTGCGGATGGCAGCAAAGCGAAGCACTGGCTTGGAAGAGCTTAAGAAGAGCTGTAGAACAGTAATCGCCGGAGTCAGTTCTCTGCTTGTCACACCACTAAATTCTGTGATTGCCCTAGCTGCTTCAAAAATAACCATTTCTGCTTTGTGGCGAAGACAACCCTCAAGATAGTCATAAAATGGGCGGTCCCCAGTTTGGCTGTTCACACCAGATTCTCTGATAACCTGAAAACATTTTTTCATGCAATAAGTAATTGATAATGAGGATAAAACACAGACGAAAGTTACTCAAACAGCTAATGTTATGTTCTGGCCTCCAGGAGAAGAAACAAACCTGACTAGTATAACGAATCAAGAGGCACTGGGCCAAAGGTGAACGCACAGTCCCCTTGGTCAAACTGGTAACTAACTTGTTAACAGCTAATTTGTCATTTTGCCTTATCTGCAAGTTAGGCGATCAAAACGTTAAATCCTGTCCATATTTACATTAATTTAGTCACATTCTATAGGCAAAGTAACATACAAGAAGGAAAGAAACAGAGAATAAGAAAATGAATCTGACATCATATTTGGATTACATGCCAGCATGGGTGGCACCACATTATGAAGAATAGGGTCAGCTGACCCCATCAGGCTTTAAAACATCAATAATATTTTTCTTTTTCCAATGTTGTGTTTACAACTAGTTCGCACCCATAATGTATTGCCTATCTGTCCACACCCATAACTCATTCACCATATAATGAAATAAGAGAAGTATTTGTCTTTTCTCTCTAAACTCTTAAGCTGCCATGATGGGAAAAAAAAACTCTTAAGTTGCTTTCTTTTCATCCTCCTCTCAGTCTCTCCAGCAAAGACCCAGGGCGGTGAAAACTTCGAACGAGATCAACACTCATGGTCAAATCCCTTGTTTAGGAAAAACTTTTAACCAGATTTTTTTTTAATCTTTATTGAAAATTTGTGCCTTCTTTTTTTAATTCAAAGTTCACTATAAAAACTGTGTTTCCAGAAGAAGAAAAAAAAAAAAAAAGTGGCTTGTCTTAGTCCATATACGAACTATCTATACATACATGATAGTATCAATAATGAGGTTATTATGCAATGGTTTCAAAGTATGAAATCTCATCAAGGGCAATTGTAAAAATACATATATTTTGGGGTTTTTTTTTTGGGGGTGGGGGGTTATCAAAACAGTAGCATCAATATATTAATTTTTCTTTTGTCTATGGTTATAATTAATGTTCTATGTTTTTGCACAACTTCATCAACAAAAAATTTTGGATCCTCCACTATAAGCCAGCATATGTTACAGTTGAAACACAAGCAAACCATGAAAATCAGATTTTTATGTTAAAAGGGAAAACAAGGTTTATATACCATGCACATGTGTGTAAATAATTCACTCACATGTGGGGGTGGGGGGTGGGGAGGAGAGAGAGAGAGAGAGAGAGCGTCTTTTTGATGACTGATGACTATCAAAAGTTATGCTTAGTAGCAAAATAGTTAGTTACACATAAACAAAGTCACAGTGGGAAAACAAAAAAGAAACACATGTAGCACTAACTTCGTCGAAGAAAATAAAAAGCCATTCATGAGATTAACAAAGAAATAACTACGACAATTCAAATCCAAACCACTAGACCAATATTTCAGTTTTCTCTCACGAGGGCATAGGAAAATCTACTTAATTTGCAGCCAGGAATCAATTTTTTGAAATACTTCCTACAACAATCTAAGATATAAAAGGTAGTATACATAAAGAAAATACCAGGGGAAAAAACTTGAAAAAGAGAAATATGGGATAGACCATAAATAAAGAAAAAATACTTTTCCTTAAATTTGCTTCCCTAAACACACTTAAGTCCATATGTAATAGAAATAAACACACACAACACCTCAGTTGATCACATTCACAATAATATAAAAGAAACCATAAGCCATATATAACCAATGGCACATTTTCATGAACCCCATGCATGCACAATAACATCCACAAGTTCATGAGCAAATCATGCTCAATATTTATTTCAATTACTTAAGAGTGATAAACAACAATTACATCATAATATCATGTTTAAATTAAAAGCAACAAGTAGCTCAGGGTTTTAGATAAAAACCTTAACATTAATTACAACTCATCCGTACCTGGTGTAGTAGAGCAAGGGCGTGGAACTGTACAAGTGCTGCCCTTGATTGAACAGCTTCTTGAACCTCATTACTCCACCTTTTCACAATCTCTGGGTTTGTCTGTTAAACAAGTAATGTATAATTGGGGAAAACTTTTAATAGGAAAGAATATACCAATTCCTTAGAAGTTGGAATAATTTAATAATTAACAGTACCTGGAGTAAATGGATTCCACTAACAAGGGCTGCACTAGCAACCACTGGATTTTTGTCAACAATAGCTTGTTTCAAATATCTCTCAATTTGTGTTAGAAGCGTTCCATCCGTGATCCGGCAAAGGACTCGAATGGCATTTGCCCGATACATATCAGTCTTGCTATTCATGTCTTTCATAAGTGAGCTTGTGACAATAATAACCTTCACCAGATATGTAAAATATCAGCCTTAATTTCTAAAAAGCAGGTTTATATGAATAAATAAATAAGAGAAACAATGCGAATGCAACCTCATCTGCAGAGGGAGAGAGCTCCTTTATGATCAAATAAACCATTCTCCTTAATCCGATATCTCTTGATTGGAAAAGCTTTGTGACAGCAAAGAATACTTCTGTAGCTTCAACCTACATATTTCGAAACACAAATAACTAAATTTTTAATCTTAAGACAGCAGCAAGTTCGAGCAATTAATCAAACGCAGCAGAGAAAAAATTCCAATATTGTGCTAATGTTTAAAAACTAAAACTTGGATGTGTAATAAGAACTCATACATTTGTATGTATGCATATGCCACTATCTATATATGCCAGTGTATGTGTGTGAACATCCTGCACATGATGCATAGAAACCTGACCTTTGTAAATGTTTCCCCCTGATTCAGAAGATACAGGAGCTTTGTAATGACCTGAAAATGCAAAAAACACACAAAATAAGACCCATAAAATCAATTTCTGAAGAAGAAAAACATTAAACAGAATGCAGTCTTAAGAGTTAGGCGGCAGAAAGGAAAAAGCACCTGTGAACATCGCCTTGCATCAAGCTGGGGATCATTGAAAACCCTTGCTTCCTGAAGGACCGCACCCTTCTCGATCCCAAGAAAGGGAGAGTACTCCGCTGCAAAATCAATAGAACCAGGCAATCAAACATCACAAATGTACTTCAACAATCAACAAAATGAGCATATGATCAGAAGAAATTAACACAGGTACAGTGAGATCTCAAATGACTTAACTGATCTAGAAATTTACCATCATATCAACTACTTACAATACATACTATTCATTGCGTTTGGCTTCAATTTTCTGGAAATCAAGTTCTTCGTTTTTCGTGTTTTCTTTTGTTTGTAGTGAATATTTTTAAATTTTTAAAATTTTAAGCAAAGTTTTTTACTTTTTTTATATGCACCTTACTTAGATTTATCTAAAAGGTAAAATATTTTCAAAAATTGATAAATACACAAGAATACGAAAATGTACTAATTTTTGTATTTAGTTTGTATTTTTAGTATTTAGTGAATTTTTTAAAGATTTTTTTTTTTTACAAATATTATATTTTTTATGTATATTTATGTTAGGTGTATCTAAAAATTAAAAAAAAAAATACTTAAAATATTAAAAAAAAATCAGTGAAAATAAAAACAAAAAAATTTAATTTTTTGAAGAGTGAATCCTAAAAAACCAAAACCAAACAAGCTGAATTCTCTTACAAAAAATCCATAATCAGACATTTACAACCAAATTGACACAACAAAGAACTTCATCGTGATGTATCAAAATAATAATAAAAGGAAAATTTAGCCAAAATCCCTCCATTGGACCCTTCTTTGATGAAAAGGACAGCCCAACTTGTTTGGTAAAAAGGACAACCAATTTATTTTGCTTTATAAATCCCCTAAAGAGGAGACGCATAATTGAGTAAAGATAAATAAAATATCCTCTTTTTTTTTTTTTTTACAATATTACCAGAGTAACATATTATTATGGGACAGATGTGTAACATGTTAGTGTTTATATCAATTTCGACGGTAATAACAGATAATGCCAAATTTCGACGGTAATAATTTTTCTTTTATTATAAAGAATTTCATAATCAATATATCTTATTTGATAAATCTTGATGAGAAGATTTTAAAAATACTATTTTTATTAAAAATACTATTTTTATTAAAAATTGATATCTAAATCAAAAGTTATATTATTTTAAAGTTTAATATTTTAGTAATAGTAATATGTATTGAATTTTTTAATAAATGTTTTCTATATTTATCATTTTTTTGTGTTGGATATTTTTTTGTACTTCTCCCTACCGTATTAAAGTTTTTATTACTAGAGACTCTGATCAAATCACCAAATAAAAATAATTTCTTTAAAGTTGTGCAAACACACATCTTTCAAAGCCAAAATGACAGGTTCATTGAGATCAACTAAATTGGATTCGTTGTTGCCACAATACATTCAAAATCGGAACAGCCGTGTCAGATATATATATGTACAGATCCGAAACTAATAGAAATAATGTAAGCCTTCGATGCAAGGGATTGGATACAGGATAAAATATAGAATCGATCAATGGAATCAAACAAATCTCTACAAAAATTGGGAAAATTGAAGAAATTATCGAAGAAGATTAAAATTAAATAATCGAATTACCTTCGTCGTCTCGGTCGTCGTCCTTCTTTACGAGAGGTTGAGCCATTGAAAGATCTCGGATTCTGAAGCGATCTGTGAGGTGTTGATCGATATAAAAGGGATGTAAAGCTCGATTTGGCCGAACGAGCGAAAAAATGCAGATCTCTCTCTCTCTCTCTCTCTCTCCAAATATATATATGCGCGAGTGAAGTAGAAGAAGAATTGCAGATCTCCCCCTATACGTAGTGCTGAAGTTTGAGTAGAGAAGAGGGTTTATAAGAAGGTGGAGTGGACCCAGATCCCCTGTAACCGAACTGCGTAATACCAATAAAGAAGCGGACCCAAATTCTAATTTCCTAAATTTAATTTTTTAGAAATTGACTTTTTTATTTTTTAAATATTTTTTAGAAATTGACTTTTTTATTTTTTAAATATATTTAACATAAATATAATTAAAAAACATACTAATATTTGTGAATTTTCTAAATATAAAAAATATAGAAAAAAAATATGAAAATTCAATGCATTTTCATATTCTCGTGTATTTATTGATTTTTTAAAATATTTTACTTTTTAGGTTATGTCTAAGTTAGGTGCGTAAAAAATTTGCTTAAAATATTTAAAAAATTTACTAAAATCAAAAAGCACAAAAAAAAAATTTTAATTTTCAAAAAATTGAATTCAGAAAATTAGAACCAAACAATTGTATTTCTTTTTATTAGGCGGAATTTTTTTCAAGGTCTTTGGTATTAAGATTTTATAAGATAAAAGATATGTAACGTTTTCATAGTAGTTGGGGTCTTTCAATATTTTTTCAGAAAAATTTCAATTCAAAGAAATTTCAAACAATTTTTGTGTTTTGAAATTTCTATGATTTACTCAATTTCGCTGATTTTTTCTATGTTTTCAAATTTTCTTTGTGTTTTGAAATTTCTCTGATTTACTTACAAATTTCTCTAATTTCCTCACAATTTTCATCGTGTTTTGATAAAAAATTTTCTGATTGGTTTACAATTTTCTCTATGCTTTGATCAAATTAAAGAAAATTGTGTTTTAACTCAACCAAAAAAATTGATCAAAAAGCCAACACAACATCGTCAGTCTCTGTATATCTATATATTCATATCTTCTCTCTCTAAAATTTTTGTACAAACTGTTGGAAAAAATGATTTTTGGGGACTTTAATTTAATATTAAAGTGTGGTGACTTTAATTAAAGATTAAAGTGGGTCCCAACCATCTATTGTGTTGGGTCCCAGTGGGTCTAGATACTTTGCATTGAAATCTTTAGATCTTTACACCACAGATAGAATGGCCAAAAACCATTGAGATTTGAATAAGAAATTACCTCATGAAGTTAGCTTCATGGAAAAAAGGTAATGAAGTTTGTAACTCCTGCATTAATGGGGTTTGTAACTTCTGCCTTTATTGCAGAGGTTAATGGTGCATTATGAACAGCCATAAAGGCTGGAGGCTTTTCCTCTCTCCCCTATACATGTATAAATTGAGACCCTCCTGTCAAGTCTCAAACACAGAAATTTTGACTTCCATTTCACAAGTCAGTTTGCCTGAAAGTTCCTACAGTGAGAGAGTGCTGCCACTGTTTTGTTCGCTAAGCTAGACAGAGAGTGCTTCTGCCGTAGCTGGTTTTGACCGTCGTATCCTGGGAGACAGACGCCGGGATTCCTCAAGCACTCGACCAGTGAGGCGGCGAAATCTGTTTTAAGGAAACTGCTTCCGTGCAGGCTTCGGTTTCGTCTCTTTACCCTTTTATTGTTTTGTGTATTTCTGTTGAAATTTAGTTGTAATTATTAGCATGTGTTCTTAGTATATATATAATTTGATTTCTTCATAAATCTATTTATTTAATTTCAAAATTTGAACAACAAGCTTAAAACAGATTTCTCATATATGTTTTCCTATGAAATTGATCGAATAGATTTATATAGACATTTGTATAATGTTACTAGGAACTGTTGCGGAATTGCTCCCTATTTCAATGATTGTAAATTATGCAATGTGATTCTCTAATTATTTAGTTTAATTAGAATGCCCTATCAGTGTTTGGAATTTTAAAAAGTTTTGGGGAAAAAATTATTTAAAAAATTAAAAAATTACTAAAAAAATATTTTTTTATAGTTTTCAAAAATTATTTTTAAATGGATTTTCGTTGTCTTTATTGACTTTTTTCAGTCATTTTTTTTTTTTACTTACATTAAGATTAGATGCATCTAAAAATATTGTAAAAAGTTTAACTAAAATATTAAAAAATGTTTTTCAAAAACAAATGAAATTTCAAATAAAAATGCACATAGATTTTTGTTTGAATTTTTTTTAAAAATAATTTTTTAATCAATTTATTTTACTTTATAGGTGCATCTTGATTACGTTCAGGGTAAATTACAAATATACTCCCAAGGTTTGATTAAAATATGAATCGCTCCTGTAATTTTAAAAATTACATTCTATCTCTTGAAGTTTTTAATTTCATAACAAATTGTCTCTTTTATTTATAAATCATCAAGTCAATTAACAGTTTTTAATTATGTCAAAAATATGTTTCAATTAATAATTTAGGTAATTTTGTTATTATATAGGAAGCAATTATGATTTTTATTTTTTTAATTAATTTTGTTAAATAAAAAATTTTAACAATGAAGTATTTATAATTTTTTAAATCACAGAAGACAATTTATATTTTAAGTCTATTTGTAATTTACCCTATCTAAAAATAATTTTTAAAAAATAAAACCAAATACATGTCAATTTTTCCATACAATTTAAAATGTTTTCAAAAGGCTGAACTCTTCGTGCGGTAAATGTCATCATTCTCGTATAAAATCAATAACAATTTCATAAGTAATTTAAATTTACTTAAAGTTATTTTTTTAAAGTTATTTTTTTAAGGGATAATTACAGTCCAATGGTGGCAACGAAAAAGTAATTATACATTAAGAAAAAAAGTTTAAGATTTTAATTATTAATATTTATAATGTTTATCACTTGTTTATAATTAATTTTTCTTACTCCCACTGCATTGTTATTTGCCCTTTTTTAATTGTACAAATAATTAATATTATATAAACAAAATCATAAACAACAATCGGATAATTAAAAAAAAGGGGAAAATTAATGAGTATTTTTTTTAGGGTCCCTAATATTAAGATTTTATAGCATAAAAGACATCTCATATTTTCATGATGTCTAAGGTCCCTCATATCGATTCAGTGAAAATTCAATCCAGAGGTCCAAACCAGAGGAATTCTCTCTGATTTACTTACAATTTTCTCTGATTTATTTACCATTTTCTATGCGTTCAACAACAACAACTATTTAGCTTTAAGTAAATCCAAGTCCAATCTACTACTATACTTTACTATGGAGAAGTGGTTTTGGGAATACTCTTCAGATCCTAGGGGACACTTTTGATCCTCTTCTAGTCACTTAAAAAAGAATGAATACTCCGGTCGGGGTGCCAGAATTAGCACTCCGATGGGCAAGTCAGTCTCACACTCAAGATTGCTTGTATTCTAAGTTAAGCACAATAATTTTCACATACCTTTCTCAGTCTGCTATTCCTTTATTTATACTCGTTCCCTGTGCCTCAGGGCAAGGCCCACTTTTCACTCATTATCCTTCTTATTCCCTCGACTCCATAGTTCAATAACTATTCGGCCTATCTATTCATTTTATTCGGCATCCTGAACGTACCGGATAGAGCTGAATAGTATCTGACTGAAATATGCTTCTAATTCTTTTTAATATTCAGCTCCCACCCAAACACCCCACTAGCATCATCTAGTCGGCGTGGTTGGCTTCTAATCTGGGGAGACTAAAATTCGGCGGTTAATCCTCTTCCCGATGCGTATCGGGACGCGTATACGCTTTTAGGTCATTATAACGCTTTCCCGCCTCATTCGTGCTTCTCTCGCATTTATTATGATTTGAAGCTTAAGTGTCGTCGAATACATGCTTTTTCGAATATTTTGAACCTTTCGGACTGCCAATCGGTATTTCTTCTCTGGCGTTTTCTATAACTCCTATCCGTCTTCTCTTTGTTTCCTTTGCCTTTCATAAGTCTTCTTGTCTTTTCTTTGCAATCCTACTTTTCGTATTTATTTTTTGATTTAGAATAGCCTTGAGTCCTCACTAAAATGGCTAAGCATTTGAAAGACCTCCTCTCCGAGGATCAAATTTCTAGGTTCCGAAGACATTTCTTCATTCTTGATAATGTCCATCTATCTTTAGTAACGGACAATTCCCTTGATATGGAGAGGGACGACCGAAATATAATCGTCTTTCCTCTCCTATCCATTGCGGAGGATGGAGTTCGCTTTCCCCTACATCCATTTCTTAGAGCCGTCCTCCGACATTGGGGTTTGATTCCCTCGCAACCCAATGTGAATTTCTTTGGAATCGTGATGGGAATTGTAGAGTTGAACCGGCACCTCAGGATCAACCTTGGCAATTCGGCGATTCGGCACTGCTACGCTTTAGCCAAATCCTCCGGTCGGCTCGGTCGTTACTTTCTCAAGGCCAAGGACACCGACCATCATTTGGTAACGATGCTTACCAGCTCTAGCAAACGAGTTGACGATGTAATGGTCAATGTCCGAGGCAACTAGGAATTCGGCGAAGGCGAAGATCGCCTAGACCCTATTCCTAGACGGAGGGGTGAACCAGGTTGTCGTGTAATTCCTTGTTTGTTGACCTTTCTTTTATTCGGCTCCTTTTTCAAATCTAATCCTCTGTTTTTACAGGCAATAAGTTGAAGAAGGTTCTGACCTCGGCTGACGACGTAGTCCTTGCGGGAATTAAGACTGCACTAAAGTACTTTGGCCGTCCAAACGTACAGAAACAAGGTAGAACCGCCCACATTCTTTTGCGGTATGAGCCTACCTATACTATGTTCTCGGCCGCAGACAACATTTCGATCCCAACTGGCGAACAACACCATACCGCTCTTGTCTTCCCTAGCTTCAAGTCTCTTAGGCAAATTGGTCTCGAAACTCCTGATTCGGAGCAAAACTTAGAGCCGGTGATTGAGGTAATCGCCGAATCAATCAGGGAGTTCGTTGCGGAGGCCGAAGAGGTCGACGAAGCCCAGAGGTCAACGTTTGAGGCTGCCGGTCGTAACCAGCCCGACTCACTGTCTACTTCAGGTTGGGTAGAGTTTTCCTTGGAGATATTTTTACAGACTTGGGGGATCTACTCGAGGATTTTTCTGAAGGCATGGTTGGGGAAAATCTCACACAGATGGCGAGAAAGAGAAATGCCGAGCGAATGGCCGCCCGAA